TGCACTGATGTATTATATCAATTTGAAGAACAGAGATATTTGCAAACTAAACCTTTGATATGATCTTTTGGGGCTCTTGTGATAATATCAGCACCCAATAATTATGTCAGGAATCAGTTCTAATTTAACCATATAAAACTATTTTCCCTCTGCATTTGAATCTGCTCTTTCCGCTCGATTTACAAGGAAAACTTGGCTCTCTTGGGCATCACAAGTATCAGAAATCTCATGCTAACCCTCCTGGGGACTATGATGTCTTTCTTCTGGTATGTACAGTATCACAGAATGCTGAACATAGGGGATCAGTAGCAAAGCTGGAAAAACAGGTATCGTGGCAGGAGGAGAGTGGTTTGAAAGAATTTTTGGAATGTAAATTAAAACAGATTTCTGTGCTCAATCTCCTGTGTCCAGTCCAGTGAGCAGGGACGTTCCAGTCACCTATCTGAGCTTGCCTGCACTTCCAATTTCTCTTTACAGTTCATTTTGAACTAGAGATGGACCCCAAACTAGGACAGAGAATCCAAAACATGAGGATTCTCTCAGATCTGCACCTAAACGTGAGGAAAATCAGATCTAGGTGCAGATTTCAACTTCACAGCTCAGGTTTATTTTTATGACAGCCCATTTCAGAACTCAAATCCCAACACTCTTGTGAAAGGACTTGGGCTTGGATCTGAAGGTTAGGAACTTGAATTTGGATGGAAGCTTCACAACTGACCCACTTTTGCTATTAACATTAAAGTTTAATAGTGTGACTTTCCTGTTCTTAATTATTACTCATTATAATATATTTCGACATTATTCAATCCAGCAAACTCTTACATTTATGCTTAATTATAAGCATGTGAGTGGTCCCACTGACAGCAATGCAACTGCTTAAGTGCTTGGACTTAAGCACACTGAAGTACTCTGCCAGGTGAGGGCCTTAAGAAAAAATGAAATAAAATATTGTCATTTTCAGGGAACTGCACTTGTATTCCCCTCACCTTCCCATTTCCCCTGGCTCCCGCTGCCTCCCCACCTACCTCCCCATTGCCTAGGCCCCACTGCCTCTGCACAGAGCCCGGCAATCTCCCCCTTACCCCTTCTGCCTTCCCCATGCACATCCCCATCATCCTGGTTACCTGCTGCCTCCCCCAGCCACCCCTCCTGGCCCCAATGATTCCCCCATTGCCTCTGGCCTGTCCAGCTTCCCAGAGGCTCCCCGAGCCCCTCTGCTAACCCCCCCTTCCTGAATTGCCCTGAGCTTCCTTCTGCAGTCAGCCAGCCACACTTTGCTTTTCTCACCAGCCTGGATTATGGCAGGGTGACCCCAACACTCTCCCAGTCCCAGATTTTCCCTCAGAAATGGATGTTCTGTCATGTCCAACCCTCTTCCAGACAGTCCAGAAATACTACATTGGTTATTCCTTTAAAGGGAATAATGTACACCAGCTCATTTCCATAAATTAAGTTACTCTGATACTTTTCTTAAATTTTCTTTCACTAAAAATTATGAAATTTCAATTTCTGATCCGCTTCAGAATCAAAACAAATTTAGAAGTGTCAGAATTTCCCACGGGATGGACACTGTATTTCCCAATCATCTCTCTTCGTAACACAAGGACTAGAGGATGTTCAGTGACATAAAAGGTGGGAAATTCAAAGCTGATGACAGGAAATACTTTTTCACACAATGGGTGATTATCCTGTGGAACTCACTGCCACATGATGTTACAGAGGGCAAGAATTTAGCAAGATCCAAAGATAGTGTGCGTCCACACTAACGGTGAAAGCGTGCCACCAGACTCCTTGTTGTTTTTGTAGATACAGACTAACACGGCTACCCCCTGATACTTGACATGTTACAATATGTTAGGATTGGTTAGTAAAATGTTAGTATAATGACTGGTTAAGATACAGCTAAGCAGGACTCAAGTTTCACCATATAAACTGGGGTCCCAAAGGAAGTTCTTTGGAAACCAACTCCAGGACACAGCCCCAAGCTCAGAGCTGCCAGACCTCAACACTCTGCCAATGACACTATGAAGAAACTGGAATCCCCCAGATGGACCTGATCCTGACTGGCCATCAAGAAAAGTTCATCTGGCTTATTGGGAATGGTGAGCATTATACGTTTAGCGTGTGCAGTCTGTTTGTGGTGTTTGGTAATAAATAGACGTTAAGTAAGATATTACTGTGTAAGGCTCTTTCACTGATAAAAGACACCGCAAACCCGCAGAGTGTAAGGTTATACCTGAGCCCACCGAACGGGTAAGGGTAGGGGCCTATAAACTGTGTGAGCAACAGAGAATTTTGTGTGGGTAACACTGATGCCAGGATAAGAAGTAATGGGCTTAAAGTGCAGCAAGAGAGATTTAGGTTAGACATTCGGAAAAACTTCCAAACTCTGAGGGTAGTTAAACACCAGAACAAACTATCTAGGGAGGTCGTGGAATCTCACATCATTGGAGGTTACTAAGAACAGGTTAGACAGACACGAGACAGGGATGGTCTAGGTAATATTTACTCCTGCTGCAGTCAGGGCCGGCTCCAGGCACCAGGCACCCAAGCACATGCTTGGGGCAGCACCTGGTAAGGGGCGGCGGGGGGAGCGCGGCGCGGCATTCTGCAGGGGGGCGCTCCGGCGGCGCGG